CTCCAGGCATTTTTCCACCTGTAGAATTGCATAGTGGGAGCCCAAATTGTCTCAGTTCAGTGTTAAAGTGTGTGGTTGCTATTCTTTCCACTTTTTTTAGACAGAAAATTTGTTCTAATTCACTTTGCTTCTTTCCTAGGTCCCAGAAGCATAGTGACTTCCCTTTTTGTCTATTTTCTAGCAAACACAATACCTGGCTCCCATTGCCATTAAAGCATATTTCACTATAATCCAGACTTACCCCGGGGGAATAAAAGTAGTGAAACATCAATACTTCCCTGCTCTTTTGTCTCCCAGAAGCCCCTTTTTATTTGTTTTTATTTATCAAATTTAGATACTGTGAATCTCACTCTCAGAGTGACTGTTTTCAGAATGATCTATTTCCTACTTTAAGCACGAGCAATAAAGGATATCTAAGTAGCAGCCATAAGGCGTTTTCTAAGCACCCGAAGGACAAAGTTACTTGGATTTACTTGGAGCTTGATTTCAAATGGGTAGGTCCAAAGGAGATGACTCCTTTGGGGATGAGTTGGATCCTGTAAGCCCTTTGGTCTGCATAGGGTTTTTTGTAATATTATCTCAGTTGCTTGTGAGAGTCTGGATTCCTGATTGTTAAAAACTTCCAGAAACAAGATGGGGAACTGAGTCAGGATGATGATTAATCCATTGTTGGCAGAGGAAGCATTACCATTTCTTTGAAAGAAATGGGGGTGGTTCTCGGCTCAAGAAGTCATTACTCAACCCAGATATACTAGACCAGGGCTGTCAAACTTGCAGCCCACAGGTCGGATGCCTCACATACTGGCCACGCCCGTGCCCAGTTTAGCGAAGGGAGAAAAGACTTTTCCCCTTCGCTAAATGGGGCATCACATGATGACGTGATAATGCGAGTTTCACACCTCTGTATTAGTCAGTGATCAACTTTGTCTCCAATCTCCTCTTCTTGGGCAAAATTATGGAAAAAGTGGTTGGGCTACAGCTGAGAGAATTATATTTATATGAACCTGCTTTAGGACAGTTGTAGATTCAGCTTCAGAATGGAGATGGCATTGATTGCATTGATGAATAATCTTTGGCAAGACCAGAATAAGGATATTGCAGTCCTTCCAAGTCCTGCTTGGATTCACACATATAATTTTAATCCCCATTATACATTACAGAATTATACGTGACACATGGAATGGCCCTCTAAAACTTGTAAATAAATATATAATATTTACTGTTACTTGATAACTGCCTACCATAGGACAATTATGACCAGGAAATAAACTCTGGAGAGAACACCTTATTTTATAGGTATGTAGCTGTCCTGGATTCTGATGTTTTCTCTAGCTTCTATCAAAATAAGTTCCGTGTCAATTCAGTAGACCTAAAAAACTCATGTGCTCAAGCTTACACTGATAATCCAATTCAGAACCCAAATTATTGTTCTAAATCAGTGGTTGCCAACCGGTGGTCCGCAGCCCACTAGTGGTCCGTGAGAAAATTTTGGTGGTTCATAGAGAAATGTCACCCCCAAAGCAATTAATCCAGGCTGTCCGGGAACACAAGGCTGCATCGCCCACTCACTCCTTACCTGGCAAATTTGCCTGCTAAGTTTCTATTTTCCCTTCCCCCCCTCCCCCCAAAACCATCATTTGTTCTGCTGTGCCGGGAGATTTAGGTTAGCTAGAAAACAGGAAACCATTGGATTTCTTGTTTTCTAGCTAATGTTTAGATCTTTGGCTCAAGCAGCCAAAGGCAGAAAGATAGATCTCTGAATGAATCTATGATTATGTGAGCAACTCAATCTGCCTGTCTGCTTTGCCTGATTTTGGGTAAAAGTTGCTCTTTTTTAAAATAAAAAAAAATCAATATTTACAAAAATATTTATATTTACATACAAGCCATGCCCAGCCAATCACATGATCACAAAGCCACACCCATAAATTACGCTATGCTCACAGAACCAGTTGTTAAGAAATTTGAATCCCACTGCTGTGTGTGTGTGTGTGTGTGTGTGTGTGAGTGAGAGAGAGAGAGAGAGAGAGAGATTAACTGCTGTGTTAATTGTAAGTAGGAATACATAAAAAAGATGATCCTTTTGAAAAGTGCATCCTTTAAACCTTGTTTGTTAGCATTTAGTTGTTCTTTAGTAATTATTATCAATCATGGAAATTGTGGCAGTATATATGCCTTGGGAATATATAATAAAATGAAGTATACCTTACCTAATAGGATTGAAAGTGCAGACATCTTTCAGATCATATAAATAATTATTTTATATAATTGCAGAAAGTCCACTACTACTTCCTGCAATAAACCCAAACTTGGACAAATCATAAAAGCCAGAAGATCTAGAACCACAATTTGCTCAACAAACCACAGTGATATGTGTACATATTTTACATGTACATAAAAGTTAGGTTGAAATGTTATGGGAGGACTCATAACTAATCCAAACATTGCAACCCCAATAAGTAAACCACATAGTGGCTTGGCATGATGTCTGAATCAGTATGCACAATATATATATGGGCCAAGGAATCCTATCTGAATTACATTTTCCAGCAACTTCTGGAGAAATACAGATGATATGTTCATGCTCTACACATTTGTTCCAAGAAACATTTAGGAAATGTAGAAGATAAAGAGTGTGGATAAAAATATCACATATATGGGGAGATAGCTGTTATTCATTATTGTAGAGTAGACTTCAGTAGTTTTATGTTATATTTTCCAAACTGAAGTATTTAACTGTGGCTATTTAGAGATAGACAAGGAACCTGACCCTGACTAGCTCATTTATTTCACTTGAGTGCAGATGTTCCAGGTTCTTTAAGTATAAGAAATCAAGGGAGCAAGAATCTCCAAACACTCTGCCTCAAGCTTTAAATATGCTTCCTCCCAAATCTGGGTAACTTCTTTTTTAATTACCTTTGGTGAATGGCTAAAATATGGCTTTGTTGACATAATTTTAGAGACTAGGATGTATCCTACTTCTTGCCTAAACAGTACTATTTTACTGAAATCTTATGAGTGTTATTTTGTTTATGGTTTTTATTGTTTTTATGATTAATTTATAAACTACCTTAATATCTGTAATTGTGATATCATTGAAATATTGAAAATAACTAAACAAAGTTACATTAATCAAAGCATTAAATATATTTTAATGCAGCAATTTTATTTGAGAACAGATCTAAATAGTGATAGTATTTAACATTTTAACAAGATTCGGTTTCTTGAAATTCTGTCCAATCTTTACCAGCAGCGGCTATATGGAGACATCTTTATTTTTTTCTCAGTAATGAATAAATTGATTGTATCTGTATGCGGTTAGTTCTGCTCACCTGTGTTGTGTCTGTTATTTATAGGTGCATGCTAGGAATTACAGGGACCTGTTATTCTGGTCAGAAAGGGAGGGTTTTAGAATGGAGTAATTGAATCTAGCTGTCTCTCCCAGGAGGGATGCAGGGGAAGGTATTTTACTCCACAGCCTCTAGCTAGATCTGATTCATTTTTGAACTATTTTTTTTTATTTTCCAGCTTCTCTCACCATACCAAATATGGCCCCATTGTGCTTTCTGAGAATTATCCTGCTGATGGCTGTGGATGGACATAAGCTAAATGTGTGGGCCCATCCACTGTTTGCAATGGCCATTAATGCACTCAGCAATTTGAGCCCAGCAAGAATAACCAGTCAATGTTGTACTGAAAATTGTCCTTGCTTGATATATTTTGAAAATACCTGGCTTTAACTAATAGGATTTAATTTTGCCTTGCAGCTGTGTCTGTACTTCACTAATTATACATTATTTGAATAAGCCAGCAAAACAGGCACCATAAAATGTATACTCAAGAAAGTAAAATTGAATCCTTTCATCAAGAAAATTATATTCCTTATTAAATGCAACACACCGTGCAATGTGTTTTGTACTTATCCACTGTTGCTGGACTATTTATGTCCTCGGTTCACAATTTTTCAGACCCAGTGGTAGTCAAAGCTGTTGGTTTACAAAACTGTAAATTATTTTATACTTTGCATTTAGTTTTCTGTAGTGTAGCATCACACTTTTTAACTGTGTTTTCTTCGGTTGCATTGATTCTTTGGGAAATTCAAAACATTGGGGGAAAATGTTTTTCTCTTTCCACCCACTGGGCAATGGTCACTAAAAAACTGCCATACAAATGTCTTCCTATTTCCTCATGCAGTATTTCAAATTATGTTTGCATATAGGTTTTTGCTGCTAGTGGATTTTGTTAGATTCTTCAATGCACAGTTAACAAGCAGCAATTTAAGGATATAATTTATTTTAAGGATTACGCATTATGCTTTATGAGCAATGCATTAAATATATACACACATACACACTGTGTGTGTGTATGTATACATATACACTGTGTATATCTGTGTGTGTGCGTGTGTATGTGTGTGTGTGTGTGTGAGTGTGTGTGTGGTTGCCAGCTTTTTAATGACATCAGAGACCTTGAACTAGAAGATCTAAATCTAGATTCTCCAGCCTGTTTCCTCTGATTATGTTAAGGCTGAAGATTGAGAATTTCCACCTTGGGAATTTGGCAATACCTGGCTTTTGGCAATACCAACATGTTTGGGTAGAGCAGACTAAAATTAATGTATAATAGGTTTGTTCTCTCTACCACATTGTTATTTTGAGGAAAGCTTGGATGGTAGCAAATATTCCACTCCAATCAAATATTGCATGCAATATGGAAGTCTGAAGAACTTGTTCCTGTCTCAGTCTGTTCATTTTTCTCCTTTAATAAAGAGAATGAATAGAAGTACAAATGCCCTTTTTCTCTCAGCTGATATCCGAAGAGTACAACATATACATCTTGTACAAAAAATACTGTGTGGCATTCTTTCTTAATGAGTATCCTCCTTTTCTACTGACATTAGTGATTTATCTACTGTCTCAAACTTCACTTAGACTTAGATAAAGAGAGAACATGACGTGCAGATATGTAATCCTCCTTTTATCTCTTCTTCAATATTGTAGGAATTCTACTTTAAATGTGGAGCACACCCAACCTCTGACAGTGAGACATCTGTGCCGCTGAACCTCATTACAACAAATACTCGGTACATCTCATGTATAACCTGTACAGATGTTAGGTAAGTCAGCTTGAAGAATGCTGATGGGTAGTCTTGGCAATACGGGAAGCTGATTTGGCATCTTGTCTTCTTTTCCTTCCATAGTATCTTTTCCTTTGTCATTCTGCTGAAATGGATATTAGATTCCCCCAATTAACTCCTTAGCTTTCATAATGGACATTAGAATGTTGATTCTAAATCTGAATGGATGAACAAAGTGTTTTATGTTTTGTGTACTTACCAGGTTATGTGCCTATATAGTTCTTACATGGAAATCATTTTCCATGTATGGAAAAACTAAAGACTAAAAGGCTTTAAGAATAAAACATCTCTTTTTATATTTTCCACATTTCCTAGCAAATTACAGTATTAATGATTTCCTACTGTTATTGCCTTGCCACTCTTTATTGCAAATTATGCTGCTATTGAACATGGCTTTTTGCTTTTCTTGCTGATAAGAGTGAATGAGCAAAACAGAAACGCATAGAGCTTAAACAATGTTCAACAACGATGTTCAAACATTAGAATTGCACCTCATTTATTTAAGACATAAAGAAATTTCATAATCTCTTCCTTTCTATACTGCAAAACAATGAAATATGTACACACACACACACACACACTCTTAGATGACTGTATTCTAAAACTGCAAGTTTTCCTCAAAAAGTAATGACAATGGTGATCCCACAATTGTTCCAGAATCTTGTTTGTAGAATTTGCCAGTTCACTGGATCCAACTAGTATTTATAAGTGGTTTGCAGTATTTCTGTACTTTTGCTAGAAAACTATATGGCTGTGTTCCTAGAGTCAATAGAATTCAAATTCAATTCAAAGCCACTTTAGCTTTGCCATTATCAACATTTCCCTGTTAGTGGAGCAGAGAAACATTCTCAGTGAAACACATGTAAATAAATGTTCATTTTGAACTATCCTCATCAATATTTAACATTTAATAATTAACAATAATTCATTCTATATTTGAGGAGCTGCCACAAAGAAGAGAGGGTCAACCTATTTTCCAAAGCACCATAAGGCAAGAGAAAAAGCAATGGATGGAAACTAATCAAAGAGAGAAATAACCTAGAAACTTAGGAGAAAGTTCCCAACAGTGAGAACAATTAACCAATGTAATGATTTGCCTTTAGAAGTTGTGGATACTCCATCACTGGAAGCTTTTAAGAAGAGACTTGACAGCCATTTGTCTTGAATAATATAGGGTCACCTGCTTGAGCAGAGGGTTGAGGTAGAAGACTTCCAAGGTCCCTTCCAACTCTGTTATTCTGTTAAACCTGAAGAGGTATGATTAAAATTAAAGAGAAAGGAGCAAAGTATATGTCGCCGTCTTTTAAAACAATAGCTAAAGCATTTCATGGAGAAATAAAATCCTAGTAGGAATTATTCCAATAAAATGTGGATGAAGTATTCTAGGTTTCTCTCTAATGAAGTTCATAAATTTGTCAGGAATAAAATTACATGGATAATAAAACTCTCTAACATTTTCCCATGTAGATACTTAAGAGACCCACTTAAAAAGTGAGATTATGCTATGTGTTCCTTACTTGTAATATTCATCCAAACTAGCTCCTAAAGTGCAGCACAACAAACTGCTAGAGAAGTAGATTCCCCCCTCTTATTTCTTATTCCTTCTCTATATGTTTGAATTGATCATAACGTTCAACCATTTTTATTGCCCTCCTGTCCTAAACTGCCTTTACCTGCAATTGCCATTTCAGCAAGGAGTGGCATTTGACATGGATGGTTTACGGATACTTGTGATACTGAACTCATAAGAACATAGCACTGTGACAATTTCAGAAAATGGTGAATATGTTGAAACAGGCATTTTCCTCCTGAAAATAAATGAAAATGGAATTACAATGTAATTCCCATGGACATTTTCAAAATGTATGTGCTTTTGCATTCTTTTCCCCAAATGTGTTATGTTTCCATCAAGAAGCTTTTTAATGTAATGTTTTAGGCATTCTCTTCTCAATATTTTCATTTGCTATTGATAAAAGAAAGGGGTTAGGGTACGTAGCTCATATTTTGATAAACTGCTTGAGATACCTGTATAAATATTTATATTAGCAATAGGACTTAGATTATGCACCACTTTACAGTGTTTTACAGCCCTCTCTAAGCGGTTTACAGAGTCAGCCTATTGCCCCCAACAATCTGGGTCCTCATTTTACCAACCTCGGAAGGATGGAAGGCTGAGTCAACCTTGAGCCAGTGAGAATTGAACTGCCAAACTTCAGGCAGCCGGCAGGCAGCAGAAGTAGCCTGCAGTGCTGCACTCTAACCACTGCACCACTGTGGCTTCACTTCACTTACATTTTGCAAAATTAAAAATATTTCAAATAAGAGTATTTTTATTTTTTAAGATAAAAGGGCTATTAATAAACCTAGGAGGAAAGAACTTGTGAATAGAATAGAATAGAATAGAATAGAATAGAATAGAATAGAATAGA